ATTCTAAAAAGGGGCACATCATGAAATATGGGCAAAAAAACCGGTATTCTAACTATGAAATTATTAATCCAAGGATAAAACGAATACCAGGTAAATAAACATAAAACAATGCAACAATAGAGAAAAAACCATCACAGAGATAACCGATAGAAATCTGAACAACGCCCAAGAATTCAAAAATCAAAGACTAAACTAAAGCCTCTGCTGTCTTATCATAACCTATGTGAATATCTGATTTCGGATCCGGATGGAATGTGCTCCAGGTTGTAGATGAGCACTCCGTGCTACAACTATCCTGTATGACAAAAAAGTTGCTAACCAATGACTGGAATAGTGTCACATTGGCTGTGGAGTAAATCGGCAGCCATACGGTGGCAATCGCTTCTGAGGAATCGTCAGTGTCTGAAAAAGAAGGCGGGAATAATCAATAGCGTTGAATTTCCAAAAGCTTTCACATCAGCTTAAGAAAATGATTCAAGGCGCACGAATCGGCTTTTCCGGACTTAGCTAATCAAGCTAATGAAAGTTGAAGGCTACGAAAAATATACAGTAACTAGTGAGGAATGTGCATAAAATCTGATAATTGAACAGAAAGATTTTTCCCTAGACGCTAATATAATTGGAAAATAAAGTTGTTATCTAATTTCCGCTTTTAAATTGAAGATATAAAATTTCAAATACTCAGGTCCGAATCTGATTTTCACTTAACTTATACCCATCATTTATGATAAGTATTTCCAAAAACGTGTGAAAAACTAGGTGGTCACATGAGCAGTCACAAAGAAAAAATCAAGGCAACCCCGATTGTGAACTTCACAGCTGTACCACACTTGCAATGTACCCAAAGTGTCCTTTTGATAAGATGAATAAAAAAAGTCAGAAACAGTCACATACTTAGCGAAACCTTTGCATCCAATGCAAAGCTCAAATCTAATGTCATCCCAAATAGCAAACGATTCTCTAGAAGTTTTGTAAGAACAAGCCTATTTTCAGCCAAGACAAGAAATTGTATGCGTAGCTTAAGTATGTGAATTGACTTCAAATGGGACGTGATCATCAATCACGTCAAAAGGAAAAAGTTCACCCAACTTCGCCATAGTGGAATCACAATGCTAATTAATCATACAACATACATTATATAGAAACAGGCATAATAACATTCTTAATGGCTTCTATAATCGCAAAAGATGAGAAGATTTGCGCAATACATCAAGTGCAAGCCGATATACAAATGTAACAACGAATCTCATATCGTAGTGCCGTAACAAAACAGATATGCAGCCTTGACTAGATTCATTCCGAGTGATATGGCCACAACATCGCGCACTCAAAGTTATGATAGAACAAGTGATAGATTTTCAGAAATGCGTCTTAACGTTGTACTCAAAAATATCCAATCTCAGCAAAAATTAACGCTTCGCGGCCTCTACGAAGCAACGACTTTTCGACATGAAAAGGTCGAGCTATTCAAAACATCAAGCCAATACAAATTCACGGTATAACCTAATCTGACGAATTTAATCGCCAACTTTTTTCGAATCAAACCTTTAAAGCAATACTAAACAACTTTTCGCGAACGAGAATAGTCATATTTTCAAGGCATGTCACCCATGACAGAAAATACAATGAGAACTTTCTATTCTCAATGGTGAGAGTTTTATGAAAATGCTAAACTCTCACCATTGAGATTGGAAAGTGTAAAAGTGAAGTCATTCTTCATGTGAACGATTGAATGTGTTAATCGTTTTTTCTCACTAACTATTGTTATTTAAACCTCAAAAATGGACGATCTGAATTACCCAGTGATTGTTATTAGTGCTAATTTTTAATGTATAATCGTTTCTTCTTCACGATAGATACATGATAAACTGGTTTCGCCCGCATTTTGATAGATACTATTATAAA